AGTTGTGCCCCCCTCCACTTCCCACAGCTTCCGCTGCCACGGGGAAGTGGGGTGCAGTGGAGCAAGTGTGTCCGCCCAGTGTGCTCTGCTTCCCCCACGGCTCCTGCAGCCATGAGCTATGGGGGGGATGCCACTGCTGTCTCTATGCAGTGCCAGCCACCCCATCCCCGGTGATCCCCAAAGCCACATGCTCTGGGGACGCGATGCCATGGGGGGAGAGGGTGAGGCAAAGGCAGGAAGGGGAGGGCCTTGGGGGGTGTCCAGTAACGGACAGGTTCCCCTGAGAGTCCTGGTCTACCTTGCCCAATCGCTCCGGCCAGGAGTGTGAGACCCCTGATCTGTGGTATTTATATCCCCTCCTCCCCCGCCATATAGCTGAGCACCTCCCAGTCTGTAACGCTTTGGCAGTACTCACCCTCTTTGTACAGGCCAGGGGCGGCATGACGCTGTCTCTCCCAGAGGCAAATCGGGGGGGAGGAGGCATTGAAGCCGCTCTCTGAAGTCCCAGGTCGGCCCTCTAACCACTAGCTCATCCTTCCTCCATTAGACTGCCCCCCCACCCCCCACACATACTGGGAGTGACACGAGAGGAGCTGCAGTCTCAGCACTTCCCCCTGCTCCCCTTGGCCCAGAATCGTGACCGTGGGGGCCGCAGAGAAGGGAGACAAACAGGACACGGGGAAGCGGGTGGAAACGGATCACGGAGCTAAGCCGAGTGAAGGCGTTGCCTAGCGCCCTGGCTCACTGGCACAGGGGAGCCAGTTGTGACCTAGAGGATGCTGGGATTGGGCCCCATGCACACACTTGGCTTGCAGGGCTTGGCCAAGAGCAATGGCGGCGGCTCAGGTGAGTCCCCTACCCACCTCAGCGTCCCTCTGTGTTTGGCAGAGGAGGTGCTGGAGTCCTTCGATAACCACCCGCCCATCGTGCTGCCGAGCGGAGGATTTAAGGTGGACTTGGAGGTGGAGACGCTGGACGAGAACGTGTACCGGCATCTCCTGTACGTGCGCCACTTCCTGTGGAGTCTGCGGAGCAAAAGCCCCCATGCCAGTGACCTGCCGGAGCCGGAGGCCCTGAAGGTAGCACTGGCAGGCCCAGGGAGAGCGTTGCTCCTGCTAACCCCCTTGCAGGGACATCAGAGATCCCTCGGCCATCCTGCACAGACCTGCCACCATCTCCCCATCACCTTTGAGTCCCGGGGGAGCCTGCATCCCTGCTGGACCACCCTGCCCCCTGCTGCCTCCTCTCCTTTGATCCACACAGCTCCCAGCTGCTCCCTCCGCATTGATCCCATTAGCCAGGAGTTACTGATTCACACGTCCTGTATTCTAAGCCCCATCATGCCTGGCAGTACCTGAGCCAAGCCAGCACGAACCTTGTACGGTCCCTGGGCAGTGGCTGACATTGCCATGTCTTCTGCCACTTCTCTGAGCCTGTGACAGAGTCTCCACAGGATGGAAGCGTTAGAAGCAGGCACTAGACAAGATGCAACCACTGGTGACTCAGCCAGAAGATGCCAGGGCCCATCGGTCAGGTGAATTCTCTCTGATTCTCTCCTGTGGGATGCCATACATTGGCCTGGCGGTTTCTCTCAGTCCCTGCAGAATTGCACAGTTTCTCCCATTCCCCCATTGCTGGACCTGCAGGGAATCGTACTGTAGAGTACTCTGCTGCCCTACTGAATTCCACGCCTGGAGGCTCATCGGCACGGAAGTGGGGGAGACCCTCTCTTTGCAGGATGAGCCCCTGGGGGAAGCCTGCATTGCTGCATATAGCTGGGATCCTCTAACCACAACCCCCCGCTGCTGCAGACCCAGGCTGGCCCTGTGATCGTGGCAGCCAAACCAGCGGGGTCACCCAGGCCCCAAGGGCTGTGAACCTTTGGCTTTGCACCAGTCTCAGAGCTGACTGGAGCAGTCGCTGCCGTCTTGTGGGCCGGGAAGCCCTACTGAGCGTCTAGCTCAGAGGAGAGGGGCCCGCAGGCTGCCCTGGGGGATTAGCCGCTGATCCCCGGGTCTGGAGGGGGCAGGGAGGTGTGGAGAAAGGACTGGCTTGTTTCCACAATCTTGTTCGCGAGGCGGCGGAGGGAGATGCCATTTTGCAATGTGGCCTTGCCCTCCGCTCTTGGTCCTCCCCACCCCCTTACGCCCCGTCTGCAGGTCTGGGTAGAAGTGGGCCATACAGGTAGGGTTGCCAGGTGTCCGGTTTTGAACCAGACAGTCCGGTATTTGAACTTTCTGTCCAGGAAACACATTGAGAAAATACTGGACATAGAAATGTTCGGTATTTTCTAATTAAGTAATTTTATTATCATGAGTATCAGTA